ACCTATCAAACATGCGCAAAGTGGTGCACTGTGTTTTAACATTTGACAATGTATTTATGGGGTTTTATTTTTGCAAAGTATCAAAACGTTTAGAAACTTCTTCAGACACTCGTTTATTAAACACTCGCCCCACTTGTGCCTAAAATAATCTATGACGAAAGTGATGTTTATAAAACTTGTTACATTATATACCGTTACATATCATTTTTGAAGAGGCTGGAAGTGAACTTTTAATTTTTTTACATTCCGGGAATTTATCTAAACCTGGATTAGAAAACATTGTTATTGAAAACCGGTTTTTAAGCACTCGCTCGACTAGTGCTAAATAAACTCGTGACTCAAATGCTGTTTTACCTCACTTGTTGCATAATACACTATTACATATAATAAACTTTGCTAATCATGATATAAAATTAAAAAAAAAAACAAATGTAAAATTAAGAATTTACAACCATTGCAAAACGTTAAATATTAATTATAATCAATTATTATATCAATATATTTTTACTGTCTATTTTTTCGGGCTATAAGAATTTCCATTGCAGTATCCACGTATAAGAAGCTTTTAGAATTTATCTGTTTCTAACACCAGCTTTAAGTAATAATTTAACTCACTAACGGTACATAGAAAGCTTAAATTAGATTTTATTTCATGCATTAACCTGAAAAATTTGTTGAACTGTTGAACACCCTGTGTAACTAACGAAACCCATTATAAAAAAGATAATTTTCGGGAAAACAATATCTTCTCGTCCCTCGGGTCAATATCTTTACGCCAGACGACCGACACGGAAAGGCAGATTATTATTTTTTCATCATCTGGCCGGTTTTACGGTCAGCGGAACGGTAATATAGGCCTTTCTATATTGCAATTTCGCTTTTGCGCCGCCGTCGGATCCTCAATATTGGAAATGGGGATCTAAGATGGATAGCTTTCTTTACTGTTTATGCGTCCAGGTCGACGGGCGGCACCGGACTTATTTATAGAATGGAAAAGAAATTGAAAACTGGGCGGAGGCACACGTTACCACGGAAAGAACGAAAATACAGGAAATTAATCATTTAAATTAATTAAATCTTGTTAGTAATACAGTGCAACTTCGGTAAACAATTTTTATAAGAAAAGGGAATGTCCTCATGTGTACTAAGCGTTGTCTCGAAATCAAACCATACGTCTAGCAAAAGCAAAAATATTTATCCGAGTTGAAACTCAACTCATTTATAAATGCAATTGTAGGCGAATCAAGACAAGTTAAAATCGAGTGGCCACGTAGGCACTAAACATGGGCGTATTGTAAAAATGCAAAGGCAATTTCCGGTGAGTAGAAGAAAATTAAGCATTCTCTCACTAATGAGTGTTGCGATTGAGTGTTTTATGTTTTAAATTAGTTAGTTAAATTTAATTTAAATTAGTTCAATATTAAAAATAGTTTCCGCGAATGATTCAAAATTCAAAAATGTTGGTATACTTAAAAGAAAGGTAGCAGTATTTTAATTATAAAAAAATGACCAAGAATATTTAACATTGAACATTCCATTCATCACAGTTTACAAATCTTCTGGATGCCTCCTGGGTCGGTTGTTGATGAATCGAACTTGCTAACGTTTTGCTTCTCGTTCACGTTCCCCGTCCCCCTTAAACAATATTTCAACAGGTACAGAGTAAAATACGAGCCAGTTTCAGTCAAGCTCAGAAGAAAGCAACAGGATGATTGGCGAAACGTCAGCAAATTCGAATCTAGAAGGTTTGTAAATAGTATTACATTAATCAAAACAACACGAATACTTTGACTGACACCATCAAAAAAGCGCAAGTGCGGAGAGAGTTGTGAATGAGCGGCAAAAATATACAAAAGGCTATAAAAATAACTGATGACATAAATGTCCTCAAGTATTTTAGTAACAAAAATATGAAGAAGTGGCATTGAAGAGAAAAAAAAGATAATATTGACTATCATTGATTATTCATATCAGGCAGGTAAGAAAAGGAGGTGAATGAATAAAGCATACAAGAAAAGAGGAGCGCTTGAACTAGGGGAAAGAGTAAGAAAAGAGGATGAGAAAACAAAGAAAATGAGGTTCTATTATTACTCGTATTATTATTATTATTTTAATGCATTGTGATACAAATTGGTGTAGCTGCCTACTTTTATGCGAGTATGGGTGTTACCGCTTTGTCAAACAGCGTTTTTTTTTCAAATACATCAGGCTTAATTGCAGTTTCCTAATTAATCGGAACAGCAGCAAAGACAGCGGTTTTATATTAATCGAAATCGAATTATCGGCTCGGGGTGGTAATCTCGCGTGTCCCCTCGGCAAAAATCGAGCGAAAATGAAAAGTGTAACAGAGTATCGCACTTAAGCGGCCGCTTTAACAGCGATTCCGTTCCGATATAACCCCAATTTGAACAAAAACGTCCGCGTTCCGTATTAGGGTGATAGGAGGGGAGCGGGGTGCTTGGGGTGCGGGGGCGGTGGTGGGTTGGTCGGCGGCGGTGGCGGCGGCGGGGCGTCAATTTATTTTGATGGCGCGCTGGCCCCCCTCTTGCCCCGCTCGTTTTGATTTCATTAAGGGTGTCATCGCAATATCGGCCGGGTGCAATAAATGGAAACATATGGAACATGACATGTACACATAACGGTACACGCCCGTTCCGCTATAAAACTAAATTAAATTTTGTATTTTCGTATTACTCAAACAATTGGCTGCCGCCGCGCGTTTCGTATTTTTTTTTACTGCCCGGGATTACTTTGATTAAATTCCTGATTCGCTTTTTTATGTTTTACCATTTTGCATGGTCGGGACGGATGTGCGCGACGGATAAATAAATCGCGACTTTAAGGCGCTGTAAATTTTATTGACTTTTATAAGCAACAAATCCGTCAAGCGGTTCCATCGTCAGGTGCGTTTGTTTTACTAAATAGCTGTGTCCCGATAAAAATCCAGAAACTTAAAGTAAACTGCGCGGTTTAACCTGTGAGTGATGGAAAACATGTAGGCCAAAAATATTTTTATTTCGTGCTATACAGGATGTCGCGTAACATATCCTCCCATTGAGCAACAGGTGTAGCAATACCATTTAGGATTTCTTGGATCAACGGTTATTCCTTGTCTCAACGTATACCATGTTTATTAGTATATTATGTTTACTTACTAATACCATTAGAAAATTATCAATAATTGCCTAAATGATTACGGGTTTGTCCAAAATAAAATTCTGTTTCACGCTCAGGATCGTCATTAAGATTCATGTTATTTTGTATGCAAATGAATTTTTAAAATAACTGTACAGCATTTTTCTGGAAAGTTAGTTCTCAAAAAGTTGAAGATTGATAATTGCTATGTTTAACGAATCCTCTGCTTATTAAACATTTATAAATATTTTGCACAATTTCTTTTGTACCTAATGACAAGTGACAGCGGATTATTCAATACTTCCACTGATCAGTCGATACGTGATACCATCTATTTGACTCGCCCCTGTCTTATCCCTATGAATAAATTATTATTTGTTCTGTTACCCGGTTACAACAAGTATAAATGTGTTACGACCTAAGTAATTAAATACTTATACGATATACTTTGAAACACACTATACTCCATTCCTAGATTCTAGGATCCGGATACAAGAAACCAACCACAATAATACAGATTGTACCATAACTTTTGTCTTCCATAGAACAAGAAATGACACTAAGGTACAATGAAATTTAATTTTCTAAAAATTACAATAATTAAATAACGAAAAAAAAATGAATTTAAAATTAATGTACTAGTTTGATGTTAAGACATGCGAATTCAGTTACAGTTTGAGCCCAATTTTTTTTGATTATTTTTTTTATTCTGTAGAGCTTGACTCTTTTGATTTCATATTACAAAATAGTCATCCCTTTTGCTTAAAAACTAACCGTTTATCAATATTTATCATTATGTATTTGTTTATACTTCTTCTGTTGCTTTATGACGGGACACAGTGTATAATAGAAAACTGAATTTTTGGTAATGAAAGTTATTTATTCTAACTATAAGGAAGTATCCACCTTACCTATCCATCCTTACCAAGAGGCTTCTATATACCGCCCCAAAAAATATATAACATTAATGCAGTTTCAATACCATTGTAGTTAGGCTGTTTTATAAACTTTTATGTTTTAAATCAAGTTAGTTTTAATAAGCCTAAATATATTTTGAGGACGTACTTACTTAACAAAGAGGAGTCCAGTGTAAAGTGCATCTCAAATTCAATCATATTTCTAAAGCTTACAATGTGCTTTGGATATACTTATTTCCTGTTTCTATGCGCAAAAATCTTTTTTTTAAGTGAAATTTATATATATATATATATATATATATATATATATATATATATATATATATATATATATATATATATATATATATATATATATATATTTTTTTATTTGTTATCAACTAAATTACAAATTTGGCAATTAAGAAAAAAATATCTATCAAAAACATTTAAAATGGACAAGATTCGCATTATATTATACTGCAATGTATTTTAGTTTTTAGTCACCCTATATATCTGACATCTGAATATAGGCAATAAGCTTTCTAAGAATATTTTACTCTCATCAAATAAATTATGTTACTTTCTGAAGGTACAAAGTGAAAAAAAAATCGTTTTCTCGTTGAGAAAGGCGATATTTTTCTATTTTTATTATATTCGACGAATTGCTTGTCGAATATGGTAAACAGTGTACTGCAAATGCTTCATGCGTCGGTCATCAAGCGATAAGCTAACATTGAGCTAAGTCCAAAATGGTTGAATTAACGTTTACTAGGTAACTGCTTACCATTTCCACTTCCTGATTACTTTTGCTTAAATATAGGGCTCATCAAATCCACGGGTTACAATATTATCCCTATAAAAACTTGTACAAACTTTAAATCCTTCTTCCAAAATTTAATTAAAATATTTACGCTATGAATGAATTTCATTAAAACATTATTCTGATTATCCCCCATTTTGTTTCAGGTAACGACACAATGCCTCCGGCTGCACGGGAATTTCGCTCTTTGGTACGTCCTAACAATTTAATTCCATAAAAATGCCAGCAAATTAGGAAATTAATTAACGGCATTGTTCACTTTACTTATCAACTTAACGTTGACGCCGTGCTTAAATTGTCCGAAGTACTATAACGCGTGTTTATGCTCAAAAGATTGCATGTTTTTGTTTGTAATTGAATTAAATCTAGATCTAGAAAATAAAAAAAAAGCTTCTCCTCTGCGAGACTTACTCCGTTAAATACTTGAAATACTTGAATGCTCAAAAGTTCAACTTAATTAAGTTTATATTTAGAATTGAATAAAAAGCAAAAATTTTCAAGAACTGGCAGGGCAATTCAATTTTGTTTTACGTTTTTCATATTTGTTGAATATTATTTATAATAGGAAGGGGCGATTTTGTCGTACTTGTCGGATCTCCTTTGAATGCAATGTCGTCTAAACATGAAGTACTTTCCAGCATTTCTCTGCAGTTCGATTTTGAGGTTGTTGTATTCAAGATTATGTTAAATATTCAGAGAACGTTTATTGTTAAAAATTATTAATGTTTGCCAATTATTAACTTGAGTAAATTCGCTATAATATTAAGCTTAGCTTACCTGTTTCAACGATTTTGTATAGAATTATTTATTATTAAAATCCACCGTTAGTTAAGATTGTTGCGGTTCTTAGTTTGGATGGTACTGATAGTAAATGTTTATCTGTACTCAACAAAATGCTGTGTTTCTGTGATATTTGCTTCTTGATGTGCCATATCCGTTTTTTACCGAATGTTAGATAGATAGGTAAATAGATTTATTTAGCCATTTTTTACATAAAATGTCTTTACAACAAATGGCGCGTCAGTAGTACAAAAGCAAAAAGAAAGATTTATGCTGACAACTTAATAGAATAATAGAATAGAAAAATTCCATACGTAAAAGCAATATCTCAAAATATACAATAGACATACCCTATAAAAGTACAATACAATTCTAAAGTGTAAAAACGATGGAATCTAAAATTTAACAGAAAACGTAAATATAGATAGGTAGATAATAAAACATATGTTGATCTAAAATTCGTTGTTGGTCGAAAGGGTGTATGTTGTAAAAGGTATTAAAACCACCCTTTGAACCAGAACGGTAAACAATTATAACCACTGTATCGATCGTAGGGAACAAAATACCGCAGAATTCGGCACGCAAAGCTACACAATATTTATCAAGATCTAATGCTTCACACTTAATATTATTTTTTACATATATTGCCTTTGGTGGTGCCTTTCCTACAGTAGTAACTCTGCAGGATGAAATTTTTAGAACGTCTTCACTTTTTACATGATGCTCAAACATACATACCACATCGAAGTGATTATCCACGAACAGAGACAACATATCGATCTCGCCTCGCCGGCCCTGCACGTTCTGGGCAAATATTCGGAGTGCCCCACGATCACACGGAAAAGTCCCAGTTACTTGATGGGGTGTACCCCCGCGGGACGGGAGAAAAAACGATTACGATCAGTCACCTTGAAGGATGCATAATATTTCGGATATTTTGAATTTACTTTGTCCACACGAGCGTTGTTAACTATTGGAGTGAGGTAGGCTTGGATATCTTCTGCCGTTGTCTCCGGATGTAGTTTCGTGACATGAAAGCTAACAGGCCTCTCGGCAGCCTGTAAGTTGCATTTGCTCGTATCATGCAGACTTCCTATCAGAGGTGTTTTTTTAGACAATGTAGTTCTACTCAACATAATAATGTAACATCGGAGCACTTCGTTTCAGTTAAAGCGCTATGGACAGCTATCGCGACATCGCCTTTGGTGACAAATTCGGGACTTTTATGACATTTCACACAGACTAAACCAGATCCAGCTACACTGTCGCACCTCTTGCATGGATTATTATTTCTTGCAATCTGCATTTTGATAGATGTTTCAAAAAATAAACGGTAAACAGTAAACTCACTAGGCAACGCACCGTGTAGTCTGTCTGTAGCCCAGCTTGGAGCAGTGCACGTGCAGGGAGCGCGACTCAAAACAGGAAAAAAGTTGACTCCCATGACTCACAAACACAATATTGAATACCTTTCAACTACTGAAGACTGTTCACATAGCTTTCACCAATTAAAACTTCCTAAAAATCACTGAACTAACTAGATATGGTACGCAGTTATTAAAATAGGTTATAACGGGACGGATATAACGCACGACGAGTTAGCAATCAGGTTGACTATGAATACTTTATTTACAGCTGTCCGCACCACTGTTGTAGGTTTTTCATCCAAGATGTTCTTCTTCTTCCTGAGCCTCGTCTTCCTTCAATCTTGCTCTGAATGTTCAAAGGCTGGATGTTGTATGTTTCACAATATCTCATATTATGGCCGAAATATGAGAGTTTCTTAATCTTGATGTTAGCAATGATTTCTTTATTTTTCTTCTTTCTGTTCATGACTTCTATGTTAGTGACCTATCTCTCCAACTTATCCTCAACATGCGCCTGTACACCCACATTTCAAAAGCTTCCAGCTTTTTAAAGGTAGTTCTGTGAGAGTCCAAGGTTCTACTCCATACAACTCCATACATCGGACCATTCTCAGTCTAAGGTGAATTTTAAGTTCGCGTCCATACACCACTTTCCTCATATGTATGAACCTTGCTCTTGCTTGTTCAATTCTGGATTTTATTTAATTGTCTCAGATATTTAATCCTCTTGTCCCTTTCAAGTTGACTTTGGCCGATCCACAGTTCTTTTGTTACAGCTATAAGTTTGGTCTTTTTGATGTTAATTTTAAGACCGTAACGGTTGCATGAAACTACTACTTGATCTAGGAGTTTTTGAAGTCCTTTAAAATTATCTGCCAGTAGAACGAATGATCTGCATATTTTAGGTTGTTTATTACTACCCCATGTATTTCTATTTCTTCTTCGATATTTTCTCAAGTTTCTTGAAATATTGTCTCCGAGTATAAATTGAGATTAGTTGCTTTCAGTCATATTATATCCTATTTTCACATTTGCGCAATGATTCTCAAGTCCTTGTCATCAATTCTTGTTGTTTTTAGTATTTAAATAATTTTTTCCTATTGCACTCTAAATACTCTAAATACCTCGCAGTCCATATCTCGCCATCTTTGAGTTAGAATTTGAATGCATCTTTGTACCTAGACCCTTGCGGAATCCGAACTAAGTATCTTCAATGTGTTCATCAATTTTGGGGTAAATTATTTGATGTATTATTGTTTGAAACAATTTTAAGACATGACTCATCAGACTTATGGTGCGGTGTTCATTGCAATTTCTAGCCTTTGCTAATTTAGGAATCGGGATACACGTCGACTTCAACCAGTCAAATGGTATATCTGCTTTATCGTATATAAAATTTAACGACTTAACTAATAATGCAATTGCTTTCTCTCGCAATATTTTTAGTACCTCTTTAGTAGTATCATCTGGTCCTGTTGCTCTCTGCTTTTTTGCAAATTTAATGGCTCTCTTTATTTCGTCTTTGTTAATTGGTGGACCAGTTATATTTTCTTGTACGCCAGTATCCGTGTTTCGCTCATCTTCAAATTGCTCTTCAATATACTCTACCCATCGTTTTAGTTTTTCTGTTATGCTTATATCCTGTAATTGCTTTAACTTAAAGTCATCATGTCTTCTTTAATACTCTTCAATCTTTGCCCATTCGTTGGAGAAGTACACCGTTTTCGCATGTCTAATTTTCTTTTTTGTAACCATCCTCAGTTCCTCGGACTTTCTGTTGTCTTCTGTTTGCCATTAAATTCAGAATTTCTTCTACCATCCATACTTTTTTCTTGTGTTTCTTATCTGATTTCAATTTACTGTCCATTTTATCTTTTATAGTTTTGGCAAACCATCGAGGTTAGCAATTCTTGTGGTATAGTTGCTATGGCTTCATTCATCATATCTAACACTTCGCCTCTGGTCGTCTGATATTTTAATTTGTTCAGATCTGGGATATCTGCTTAGTGATAATATATGCTTTAATTTAATGTTTATAAGAAACTACAAATTATTCCTATAACAATGGTCTCTAAATGTTGATACGTATAAAAGGCTATAGTTGATTCTAACAGAAAACACTGATTTTTGAAACATATTCCGAAAACCAAGAATTTAAGTTAAATTCTGAATAAATAATAATACGAATAAATATATAACTTTTAAATTTAATTTTATTATAGATAATACCTTGTAATATTGAGATACCTACTATTTTTGGTCTTTTTTCTGTTTGTATTTCAGAGATCTTAAATAAATAAATAATTCACCCCTTTATAAACAATAATATAAAAAGCCTTTTTAAATTTCTCCCCGAGCTGTACTTCTTAACAAGTCTGACAAGCTTTCCATCTTGAATCGCATATAATAGAACAGGGACAATTTTGCAAAATCACACGTTGCCCTCGGAAATTCAAAATATTATAATTGTAATTAAGAATTAATTCGCATTGGTTATCAATTAAATTAATAAAAACCAACGAAATAGCGGAATACTAACTAAACAAACTAATAACGTCTTAGAAAAGTCACCTTAGAATAATTGGAGTAACTATACGTATTGCTATGGGTTAGTATGCAACCAGAAATACATGGCGTAAGATACAAAGACAATGGAAATAACAGCTTAACGAAGGCGACTGAAAATGTGTAGAGCCAACCGATACTGCCACGCGATCGACGCTATTTTAGAGAAAAAGTTTTGTTTTCGGAGAAACCAAATCTCCTAAGTTAATCAGAAATCAGATAGAATCCGCCAGGTTCTCCAAAAAGAAGGACACATCGGGAAAGCTGTTATGGGAAATCTACAGGAACGGAAAATTCCCTCAAAAATCAACATACATGATGTGTCATTTTTTGCTTCTCCAACGTGTTTTTAGCTATTAAAGTTTAACATTTTAAATAGTCATATGAAGGTCTATATTATTGGAAATTGGGGTCACCTCTCTAACTATTCCAATATTCAAAATGTCATGCATGGACAACTTGCTATGTCAGCCGTGAT